ATCCTTGGGCGGCCGTTTAACGAAATTGTGCAACCGATGCAATATCTGTGAACACTACGGGTTCTTCAGTACTGAAAGCAAGAAAGAATTTGACTTAACCTGTCTACTACTGTCTTTTCTCTTTTCAACCGTAGGTACCGCATTCGATATGACTTTGTTTCAATGAACAAAGCAATAATATGTTAAAAGTTGGTGCTTAGGCATTCGCAGCATTTTCTGCGTCGTACATTAATATTCTTTGTTGGATTTCTTTCTGTCTGTGCAGGATCTTGAGGCCGTTCTCGAGGCTTCAGAAGAATTAAGAAAGAGTCCAAAACTGAAAAAAATTCTTGAGGTACGTGTGAAGTATCTTTTGGCGGGCAGATGATTTTCAAAACGCTTTGCGCGTTGGCTACCCGTTTAAACACGGACCCTGCTTCAATTTTTCAAATTTTGACCACTCTTGGTAAATGTGCAGTGAAACATTTGCTTTGGGACACCTTTACTCAAGGCACACAAAATTTGGCCCCGAAAAAAATGTTCACATACTCTGTAATCTTTGTATCTGTTACCTCTCTTGAAGGGGCACCTCTACTCAGGGGAAAGGAAAACTTTTTCTGGTCCCGAAACCCAGGTTTAACCTCCATTAGCACACAAAACGTAACTGTTCTTAAAGAGGGTTGAAAACTTTAAGTGCAAACTCAAATCACAATGATGTCAGCTTTCACAAACTGAATTATCTCGCTTAAATTCATTTTCTTTGGAAATTCAACACTTAATATCGCCGAGACAAGTTTATCATGATTTATTTTTACATTATGTAGCTGCGTTTAATGACTGCAGCAGATTCAGAGGCAGAATAAAAAAATGAAAATATTACCTTTGTTGAGACGTAATGCGATCAACATGTCACGAGCACGGGACCAAGAAAAAACTCTGAGTCCCCGACAGGAATTGAACCTATGAGCTCGCGTACACCGGTCGGATGCTCTAACCACTGAGCTACGAAGGACTCGAGGCGAGCTGTTCATCTGTGACATGCGTCCTGCGTACTGCTAGGATCAGCAATGTCGAAATCGTCATGTCTGTGATAAATAAAGAAAAATGGTAAATATGAACAAACCCCAATCCAACCTCTCTTCAGGTAGCCTCCCACGCAGACGTGCTTAGGGGGGACATTTGCGTTGATCCCGAGGGTGTCCCTTGAATAGAGGTTCCTTTGTAATAACTTGCGAAACATGGAGAAAAAAACGAACAGAAGGGAAGGGAGGGTAATGCTTATTTAATTCTAAGATGTACAAGGATTTCTTATTACCCGACTGCGGAAGAGGTCCGTAACCATTTTCATGAATAAGTGTAAATGTAACGTTATTTAGTAATTGTTGTTTGTCATTTTAGTTGGTTTTAAAAATGGGTAATTACATGAATAAAGGAAACATGAGAATAGGATCCGCTTCTGCTTTCAAGATTGACTATCTGAACAAGGTAAGTTGGTCCACAGTTTTACATGTATACTGATTTCCCCTTTGAGGGGAGTAGTAACAACAATTAACTTAAACATTTCCCCTAATGAGCAGAAATCAATGTGTGTTTGCATTTTTAGTTGACAATGACCACGTACGAATCCTGTAAGTTTCTGTGAGTAAACCTGTCTAGCCAAAGCAGACAAACATTACAACGCGGACACGAAGCTTAACCTGGCTAGGCGGTCCTTCCCTTTATGTCCGCCGACTCTGAAAAAATTGAGAACGCCTGGTCGCAGGTTAACACGAAGCTAGGCATTATGGTGAAGATGAGTTCGAACCACTTAAGTTAAATTCAGAAAAACATTGGACATTTTTGTGTGGCGTAAGTTTTTGTTTTATTCTTTCTCCAGAATAGACGGATTTGTCTTGATTTTTTCGCTATTGAACTGAAACTGTAAGGCCGCCATGTCGTGAGCTATGGTTCATGGCAAAGGTAGAAATGAATTAAAACTACAAACTACTGGAGCAACTTTAACAAGCCGGTTCAGTAATTTTTGATCGAGAAACAATTAGTTTCATGTGAAGATAGTACTATAGAGGTTTTTTTGAATGGATATGCTATAGGATTTCCTACACGGTGTGACCGTAATGAGTGAAACAGCGATTTAAGCGGTAAAATGTAAATGGCTTCTGTTTTGTTCTCTCCATAATGTAGCTTAGTAATACCAAAACTTCAGACAACAAGTCAACTCTTCTTCACTTTTTGGTTCAAACAATCGAATCCAAATGCCCTGAGGTTTTAAACATTAAGGATGAAATACCATCAGTGCAAACTGCAGCCAAAGGTATGAATTCTCTTCTGTGTTGTCTAGAATAAAATTTTGTTGTAACTGTATACGAACCGTCTTCACTGGATTGCTGTATTTTATTATAAATAAGAAGGTTATACGATAAAAACGCAGGTAGCTGACGAAGTAAGGGGAAGATTTGTTAAAGTTGTCAGGTCAGCGTCCTTGCTGCAATGGCGAATCTCCCCTTTTAACAATTTTTGTACTTTCCCATGTGCGAACTCGCAAACTAAGTATTCCTATTCCAACAAACGTATATACTATTTAGCATTCTGATTTTAGGACCGCCGGAACTATACGGAAAAGTATTCCGTTCTGTTCTGTGACAATACAGTTGCTCTGCTTTCAGTCCTTTACAGGTTGCTTTTGCCTGAAATGTAACACAGCCAGGTTTTTAAACCAGGAAATTAGCTGCTGCATGTGATTTAAATTGCTACTTTTATATCTTTTTATTTTTGGGGTCCGCTGTAATTGGCTTTAGCTGTTGCGGTGTCCCTGCCCTAATATTTAAGTTATTATTAGTGTATTGTTACGTTCTTATTACTAGCCTTTGCATATCTACAGTGCTTTTTTTTTGTATTCTTCAGGGCAAAGCTAATAAAATAAAATGAAAAATTTGTTGTGAGGGAAAGATGCTTTCATTTATTCATTTGTTTATTTTCTTAAGTCGTGGCTGACATTTGTGACTATTTATGTTAGTTTCAGGACAAATGGTGTCTTGTGAAGTAGAGGAATTATCGGGCGGAATGAAGGTTTGTGTGTTTAGTTTTGCATGCATTTCATCTTGAAGAGGTTTTCACCACGCAAGTGTCGTCAATACGTGTGCAATCACAGGATAACAATTCCTCATTGTTTTTGAAGTCTCAATATTTCGCCACACTTCGCTATTTTGTTGGCTAACGGGCATTTTGAGGATGGTCTGTCACGTGGTACAATGACGTGACTGCTGCGACGGAACAAAAAAAGGAAATTACCATTTTTATGATCTGAGCTCTTTTTTTTCCCAGTCTGGTCCTTGCGTTTCATCGCGGCGGTTTTGTACTACGTGACTGGCCGTCTGCAAAGAATCCATTCATGGCATTTCCAAATCGTCCTTATGTATGTAAGGACGATGGCTCAGTTTCTGGAGTTGTTAACTCTTGTGACCCATGATATTTATTGCTGTTTTGTAGGAGTTACAGTCTGACCTTGGAGCCTTCAGATCGCTCAAGTCTCAGGATCCCAATGATCGCTTTTCACAGGCAGTTAAAGTATGTGTTCATTCCATTTATTGTTTTATCATTTCAAGGTCAGGTATCTCTCTTTCTTTATAAGAATATATTTTATAAGAATGTCGAGGCTGAAATCTACGAAATTTTAAGAACGTTATAAGAATAAACCCGGGACGCGAACTTCTTGTGTCAATGATTCATAGAATGCCCTCCCGTCTTGCTTAAGACGCGCGAAGTTAAGACGAAATTTTTTATTTTCGATTTATTAATGGCACAGTTCGTGTGTTATTTGAGACACGCCTTATGTAAGACGCTTCTTAATTTTTCCCGTTTCAGCGGCCCTATTATGTTAAGTCAGTGGGTACTGAAACCTTTTCTTTTGATCTTGATCTTTCAGAGTATAATCGATGACACTGAAGGTGAACTGAACGAGCTGCTAAGTTTACAAGAGAAATCAAGAAGTGAGTTCCGTGAAACGGTGAAATTCTTCGGAGAGAAAGAAACTACCGCAACCACGGAAGAATTCTTCGGCATTTTTGCCGCTTTTATTATGAATTTTGAGGTGAGTGACCATTGCGTCTCTTTCACTATTAAAATCTTTGACAGCTCGTTCAGCATGATGGTGACTGTTCTTTCAGTTTTAAGGTAGCATGTAGGTCTGTCTTTCTGAAGGTGAATGAACTCTTGGCGGAAAGGCAACTTGAGAGTCTGAGGGAAGAAAGCTGATAGCTTTCATAATAGTGGTAAAGATGATTGACATGCTAGAGAGTATAGGACTGAGGGGAAGAAGGATGGGTGGGGTTTCTCCGCCGCTTACTTATACACATTGCGTTGTTTGGGATGGAGCATTCTTCCTGTTTGTTACATCCCGACGGACAGACCAACGTTTTACGGAAAAAAGAAACAAAGAAACAAAAGTCCATGAGAACATTAAATTAGTGAAAAGACCTTGCTAACATCGACAAATTGTTTCGGTGTGGTCAGATTTCTACGAATCAATCTTTCCTTACATTTTGCTTTAGCAGATCTGATTTACTACCATAAATTCAGTGTTGAATCATCTAAAACTTGTTTAACACCTTGTCAACAAAGCACATGGTAAATAAGTGTTGAGCTGTGATGTTATCTTATTCTGCAGAAGGCGCATGCTGAAAATGTCACCAAGTTGAAACTGAAGGCAGAGCAGGCAAAGAGAGAGCAACAGAAACAGGTTTGCATTTTTTTTTTTCTGTTTATGAATCATAATCTCGCCCTTTAAAGGCGCGATAGTCAGCAGTTATTGGATGAGAATGAGCATGATAGAGATAGTTATTAAGGCTAAGGTCGTATTATGTGCCTAAGCCTAAGTCTGAGGCGGATAACGCAAGTTGCCCTCAGTGATAATTCTCGTTGTCATGCGAAAACGAAAACCAGTAAACGCTTTATAAGGCACTTATACGAGCATATGTTAACCAGAACGTTCACAAGAAACATACACATCAAACGACACATCAAGTTGCTCCCAACGTTTTAAAGCGTTAAACCTCTTGTCCACTTTTGTTCGCTATGAAAATTTCAATCAATTACCTTCGCATATTGATTAACAAAAAGCTTTTTTCTGATCGACTTAGGAACGTGCAAGGCAGAGGAAGATTTCCATGGAACGCAGTATGAGTGCCCCAGTTATGGAATCTAAGCAAGAATTAAGAAAAGCTGTTGAGGCAGTGACACGTAAGCCGAGTGGCGATCTATCACCCACATCTCCATCACTCAGTGGGCCGCGTTCACCCACTTCTCCGTTCTTCAATGAGGAAGTGTCACCTCGCTCGCCTTCTTCTCCATCTTTAAGTGAGTCAATGTCACCTCGCTCGCCTTCTTCTCCATCTTTAAGTGAGTCAATGTCACCTCGCTCGCCTTCTTCTCCATTTTTAAGTGAGTCAATGTCACCTCGTTCTCCTCGAGAATCAGTGTCCCCACGTTCGCCGACTACTCCTTCAAACAGTGGAACTGTTAGTAGCACAGAAGTAAATATTTTGAAGGCGAATTCGACGCCAGTTGAGTCAGAACCAGATGGCTGGACTGTTGTGAATGTTAACCGTGGTTCTCCGACAACACAAAGCCCCTTGTCAGGTTCCTTCGAGAACGAAAAACCATCGGTATCTCCGAAACCAAAACCAGTACCGCCTGTCAAACCAAAACCGAAATCCCCAGTTCCTGATCGCGTTAATTCTGGCAAAAACTTTACCTTCTCGGTCAAAACCCCAAGTGAACTTGTCAACAGTAATAAAGAAGAGAAGCCAAAGGCAGCCGAGGCAGAGGGCGTCATTAAGATTGAGAAAACGTACAGTGACTATGCAGAGGTTTTTAGTAGTGATTCCGAAAGGAAAATAGTTGTCACCTCTTCCGCTACTGGCGGTGTGAAAAGTAGGTTGTCAATGTTCGAAGGCGGAGGACCCGTCAAACCACCAGTTTACGCTAAACCAGATCTGTGTCGAAAGAAAGCAGTGGTCAAAAAACCCGAGGAAAGTAACAATGTATTTATAGCTGTTGAAAATTCGAAGACCGAGGAGAAGTCTGAAGAACCTCCGGCGCTTCCTGGTCGCCATTATACTGCAGAAGATATGGAAGAAATGGAACTTCCCACAGTTAATTCACCTTCGCAAGACTTAGTGGAAGGTACTTACGAGGTTGTAGAACCTCGAAGTAATATAAAACCTTCGTCTGTAGCACTACAGAAAAGGCCTCTCCCTTCGGCGCCACCTGTTAACAAGCGTATTGAAAGCAGGAAGGATATGCCACCTGCGCCGCCAAGCCCTTTCAAGGACAGGATACCCCCTCCGCCAGTACGCAATGTTAGCCTTTCTAGCGCATCAATTCCATCTAAAGAAAAATCGGACCCCATTTACTCAGAAGTTCAAGTGGGTCGAGGCAGCCCATCAGTTGCAAGCGAAAGCCTGTACTCTAAAGTTGAAGATACTAGGGGGACATCAGTTACAAGCGAAAGCCCCTACTCGGAAGTTGAGGACACTAGAAGGACATCAGTTACAAGCGAAAGCCCCTACTCGGAAGTTGAGGACACTAGTTGGTCACCCGAAGTCTCGAGAAAGGCCATGGAGGTTGAGGCGTATTACACTACGGATGTCGTTCGTAATTTACCCACGAAGGCTGGAGAAGTGCAAAAGCGTGGGCCCCCATCTATGCCTGCACCCTATAGACAGAAGAAAACTAAAGAAGGTGAGCCGCTCGTGGCCACCAAGGCCCCAGCCAAACCAGCCCCTTATCGACCGAAGAGTATGCCAGAAAATCTATCGCATACAACCCCCTCCACAAGTAGGGAACAAGTTACGTCACGGGGATCTCTCGATTCTCCGCGTCACCCTGTTGTTGTACCTGGCTCTCCAAGGCTCCACACTGCTAGGCTTGTTTTCGACTCCTCATCTTCCTCGGTTTCTTCCTCTCCTGCGCTGGACAGCCCCCCGAAATTTAAACCACCTCCTCCTCCACGTTTATCATCTGTGGCAGATTCTACGAAGGAAGAGGCAACTTTCGAAGCACGTGTGGCGAATGTTAGCTTTCCTTCTCCGGTTAATGGTCTTGCGGAACAAGAGGACAGCAGTGAAATTCCTACTCGAGATGTTGATGCTTCATTGGCTTCTTCCAAACCGTTTCCGCAGCCAAAACCTGATATCAAAACAAAATCGAACCACGTCAACAAAGAGACTGCACCGCCGAACATTAAACCTCCGCCACCTCCGAAGATATCGTCTTTGGCTCCCAGAGCTTTTGGTGTTAAATCCGAAATAAATACCACTGATCGTGACGGAACTGAAACACGAAACGGTGTAGATTCTTCAGGGATGATTCCTCCACCTCCTTTGGCCTGGCTAGACGGTAAAAATGAGCGATCCGCGTCTACGACTAGCGTAGATTCGTTAGACCTTAAAATTGTTCCTCCACCACCCATGCATTTCAAAGAGCTTGATCTAGTTGAAGTTCAAGCTATTGCTCCACCATTTGGATGGCAAGAGAGAACTGACAAAAATGGGAATTTCAGAGCGCCGAAAGAAAGCTCTGCAAAAACTGCTAAGGCACCTGACTTTGATTTTCCCATTGTTCCCCCTCCCCCTCCCCCGAGTGGACCTCCTCCGATGCTGCCAGTGAGCGGAGCGGTTGACAACGACTTGGACTTGGTGCCCTCGCTTTTGTCTAACGGATCAGGAGATTTTAGCCTTAATCTTGAGGATATTCTCGGAGATCCTGATAACTCTCTTACATTGACATCGGATCATTACTATGGGGCCTCAGACGATGAGGATTCCTTGCCACCTGCTCCTCTACCCCCAGGGGAGCGCTATTTTGGCGTACCACCTCCTCCTGGGGATGCAATAATGAAACCTCTGGTACCTCCACTGAGGAAGCAAAGATAGCACTCTCTGATGCCGAAGAAGCCAAAGTTCTGGAATACTTAACCTTAATAAGATAGGCACTGTGTGGAAATTATGTCCACCACGAATGGATTTAAAAGCCCATAAAAGTCCATAATCCGGCCTTAAGTGCTCCTCGAATGAAAAAAGAACGATTGCATAGTTATATTTAAGGGATAAGCTAAGAGTTCATAAGGATAGGCGAGCACGTTTCACGCTCGGTACATTTCTTGTTGCTTCTGTTTGGTTGCTACTTAAATAATCGAAGTGGAAACCGCACGCCCATGCAACTCAACGAGACTTGATGTGAAGGAATCAAGGGTAACTGTTTTCAAGTAATTGTCACAGAGCTTGCAGATTTTTGCAAGCCTGTTTTCTGCTGATTACCGTCTTTGAAATACTACTTTTGCCGACAAGTGGTAAAATCTTGCAGTAGACCAATTAACTTATTTGAATGTCCCGGAGTGAGCTTTACTTTGAGTGTGGACGCAAAAACGTGCTTCTAAAAATAGCAACAAAACAGGGACTGGGATCCAAAAGAAGAAAGGTGTAAAAAAAAGTAGTGACTCGTAATTCAGCTGTAATTTGCTTAATTACGATGTGGTGCTTTTCTAAGAGGTTATTAGTAAAACAAGAATTTAATTGTAGGTTTTTTATTCTTGGCGCGATGCAGCTTTTTATAATTATGCGTATTTATGCTATAAGAATATAGTTATTAGTTATTTGTATTAGTCGAGGATAAACGATTGAATTTAGTTGCATTCAAAACTAAGTAATTTTAGGACCTCTTGTTTAGCATTTGGAGCAGAAGTTTTCTAGAAAACGTTTACAGTATTGTAAGCTTAATCTGGCGGTAACTAAGGTTATCTAGGATATAGATGTGAACTTCCACCACTTAAGTACACTAACAAACTCCTCAGTGCCCTTTATAGACTGTGTCGTTTAAATCAGAGTAAATTCTATTGTACAGTTAATTCTAACTTGTAAATACCCAGAGGTGTGCAGAGCTTATTTTCTAACATTTATACAAAGTGTGAATTTTTTTGGCAAATAAATGATGTTCCGGCGGAAAGTTTTCTTTATTTAGCATTAATAAAAGGAAAAAAAATATATGTTTAGCTTGTAAAAAAAGGTTGCAACAAAGTAACGTCGACGGTTGGTCGGGTTTCTTTTGAAGCCTACAAGGAACAGCGCAAGCTCCCTCAGGTCGATGTTATCTATCAAAATGCCGCATTTGGGGGAACGCCTGCAAAGCTGGTTTTGCTTGGTCATACGACACTCCTAAACAATCATCGCACGCAATGAAATTGCGAGATTACGCCCAATTCTGTTGCGCCTTTCATTTAGCGTGGTGTTTCATGAAGGAAACTGATATTGGTTGTTTCGTCTTTTTCCACTTCCTCTGACTTCAGGCCACGTGAACCTATGGAATGTTGCCCATTTCGATCGCCCATTGCCTACCGTAAAATTCCGAAAATAAGCCCCGGAGCTTATATTTTTCAAAGGCCCTGTTTGAGGGGCTCATTTTTGGAGGGGCCTATATTCGGAGGGGCTTATGTACGGAGGGAAATTTGCGTTTCAAAAGCTTGTAATGGCAAGGAAATTTACCATTTTTCCTTTGTTTTACTTTGTACTCGAGGGCAAATTCCAAGTACAACCCCCCAGGGGAGGCTTATATTCGGAGGGGCGATTTAACAGAGGGTTTTTTGCGTTACGATTTTGCGGGGGCTCATTTTCGGAATTTTACGGTATTTTCAAACCGAGGGAGGCTGCGTACCAGTCAGTTTTTTTTATGTGATTAACAACATGAGAGTCGCAGAGTCAGAGAGAAGAAACCTAAATTTAAAAAATCCTCAAGTTTGGTGTTAATCGGGCAAACGATATACAGCCATTCAAAAACTCGAAAATTCATTTTAAAACAGTGTGGACAGTGTGTCCAGCAATCCATAAATCTCTTAATAAATTTTCAAGTTTTTAAATAGCAGTTTCTTGTTCAATATTGGATAGATTAACACCAAACTTGAGAATTTTCCTTTTAAAGCTCAATGTGCTCTTTTGTGACTCTGTTGGTCTCGTGTTGTTTACGCGGACTCTTACCCAGTCCTCGTCGGTTTCGCTCCCGACACATTGTCTTCACCGACGCCCCTTATCCTTTCGTGGTGTGGTTGTGTAATTCGTTACAAAGATGAAGCCGATTGGTTCAGGGAAAAACAATGCTTTTAAGGTACGACCAAGGCTGCTCATATCAATATGAACTTATTAGTCTCGCTTGCGTAAGCAGTGAGACTCATAATCTGCAAGGCGTTTTTTGTTTCCTTCGTATTTATGACACAAAAGGGCAGAATGGTCCCACGCGTTCCTGGCAGAGACCGTGGAACCTGGGAATAAGAATCGTGCTCTCCAACAAACGGCTGCTCAAATCAATATGAGCTTATCAGTCTCGCTTGCGTAAGCAGCGAGACTCATAATCTGCAAGGCGTTTTTTTTCCTTCGTATTTATGACACAAAAGGGCATCATGGTCCCACGCGTTCCTAGCAGAGACCGTGGAACCTGGAAATAATAATCGTTGAGTGACCGAAGCCTCGCATGTTTGCGAAGAAAGCTTAGGAAAGATTAATGCGATTTAGAGCTTTTCCCGAACGGGTCAGTCCACGAATTCTATCGCTTGAAAGCGTTGATTTCTTTGAAACAAGTGAACACTTCAGTGGTCGAGAAAAAAAAAAACGAAGAAGAAGAAGAAGAAGAATCGTAATTAGAAAAACGTCGATGGTGAGGCTAACTGATCGGTTGTTGTAAACCTTCATTGTAAGCAAATGAGTCTTGTGATGAGTATGCGGTTTATTTTCGGCGATGATTGAAATAACGCGCTATGTTCATCACGTTTTTTTTTACTCTGGCAATGATGTAATTTCTCTCGAATCGAGGCCCTTGAGTTTTCGTCTATTTATACACGTATGCGTATAGCCTGCGACCAAAGACGTATTTCCGGTCGTCGCTTATAAAAAGTAAATATCCTGAAGAATACTTGACCGACGATAAAGTAGGAAGACAAAAACCTTTAGCGAGTAAATCCTGTTTCGTAGAATGAGTCGCCTCCTCATTTCTTATCTTACCTCCAAGCAAGCGAGAGCAAACACCGCTTTTTTAAAGAGCGTTCTTGTTTTTTTTAAAAGAAGTGCAACATCATGTTGCACTTGAGGACGAGGCAAGGCTTGCTATTACGCTCCACTCTCCACTAACCTCCAAATACGAAGGCCTACGAGTAAAAGCTGAGCCACTACCAAATGCACTGTAGTCCAAGGAAACTCAGTCAATTTCACTGTCTTTTAATGACCACTCTTGATTTAAAACCAACCACCGAGATCCATTTTACAATTTATCTGTGTGTTTTAGCGTACGCAGAGTATTCTCTAATATAAAGTAGTATAAAAATTACCTAACAGTTCTTCTTATATCTTTGCTTTGATTGATCTAAAATTTAAGCAAAGTTTGAAGAAATGACAGACGGGGTGCTGCTACGCTCTTTCCGAGCCGTTTTGAATACCATCTTCATAGACGTAAAAATATATTAATCAGAGTTTCAATAAAATTCGATTCTGTCCCAAAAGTTCCGGTGGTTCCTTTGATGTGAATTGTACTTTATAAAGAAGTTCGATTTTCCTTTGAAGACAAAGCAGATGCAGAAGTTTTATATCTTCACCATTTGTATTCCTATTGCAATCGGTGCTGTAAGAAATATCTAACTTCAGTGAAGTGTTCATTTGATTTGGGTGTACCGACTCAGAGCTGTGCGCAAAACTGCGATACCAAAGTCAACATCGTCCTTGTTAATGCACATAGGAGGCTTGATTCGCAAAACCTGTTAAAAGAACAAAACCAATGGGACATGCAGAGTTCAGAGGTGTCCCTATTATAGAGGTAGGTAATATATGAAACTGTCCCTTACAGAAGGGAAGTGTTGGCATGAAGAGGTTCAATCGTCATAATCTTTATAACCAATGAGAAATTTCAAGGGGTGTACTCAGAAATTGTCAGATTGGGGCTTCCTCGTTCTTCTTCCTCCTTTTTTTTTGCTTACCAGTGACACAGGCGAATCGGAAAAAAAATCCAAGTTATCCCACTGAAAGCATTACCATAAACAGTCGCCAAGCGATTTGCATTGTAATGTTAAGATTCTTACACGCGGAATATTTTTGACTTAGGGGAAAGACCTTTCTATGTACAATGGTAACGCAAATCGCATGGCGAATTTGACGTTTTTGTTAACACGAAATATCCTCGGAACAAAGAGCAGTAAAAATTTATGTTAACGGAATGGACTTAAAGTGTAACTGCCCTAGTTTTTGTGAGGAGAGAGATGAGAGCAAAGATGAGTCACGTGTCTGTGGTGGGAAGGGGGAGGGGGTGGGGCTGCTTGACACAAGCTTGTATACTTACGTTGCCATATAATCCTCCTTTACCAATTAGTACCCCCATGTCTTTACAATCCTCCCAGATGGGAACAAACTTCTCGGGTGGCAACGGTGTCTTTGACTCCTATAACGACAAAACAAACAATCTTGAAGTCATTTAACCCCAACAAGGAATACAATTACAAAATACAGTTGAACATCTTCAAAACGAGCAAAGTGGGGATAGAAGAAAGTGGCCGTTATAGAGAGGTTTAAACAGGAGTCTATGTATGGATTGATGACAAAAAAGTGGCCGTTAGTGGAGGTTGGACTGTTGGTGCTGCAGAGATGTATACCTGCACACAAATATATTTGCCTTTACTTTCTTTCAATGCTGTCTCAAAAATATTTCTGAGAAAATGGGCAATTTACCATCGCAAAAAGGGAAACAGATAGTTTCAGTGTTACTATTTATGGTTTTTAGTGACCAAAATAAGTAAACTATGAAAGAAAAGGGCTGAACAGGCCATTTGCGCTAAGAGGTGCCCACAAGCAATAATTGAATCAATTTTGGGATTATGGCAAAAGCGCTTAGATACATTTTGCGAAAATAGGAAAAAAGCATGTAAGGACTTAGGACAAATTGGTGCAGCCAAGAATTATTATCATCATCATCGTCATGTATTCACTCTTGACAGAGGAACCTCTCCCTGGATAGATCCCACAGGTGTCTGCAGTGCTTGGCTAGTCTTGACCATAAGGGTCCGATCTGTCTGGTGAGATCGTCTCTCCATCTTGTTTTTGGACGACCATGTTTTCTGGTCCAAGCTTAGAATAGCTTTCTTAAAACGCTTGCGGGCAGACATTACTTTTATGCACAATGGACTACCTCAATTTAAGTGGTACAAGTTAGGTAAATGTAGGCTCACTTTGTCAGTCACAAGTTCCACGCCAATCATCAATCCCTTGCCTCTGACGTCGCCAACAACATCCGGGAACTCACTCTTGAGATCAAGAAGTTTTTCTATAAAGTACGTTCCCACCACCTCAGAGTTCTTCTGTGTTCCGTCTTCATCTATGGCCTGTCAACAAAAATAGAGCAAACGTGAGTGGTGACTGATCTTCCTAGAATGAAAGGCGACTAAAGACTGACAGTTTTCTGCTCAAACTAGCCAAGGAGCAAAATCTGGTAAGCTTTACTGAGAAATTGTAGTTTCAAAACTGCCCTTTCAGCTTTCTTTTTCTTTCCTGTTGTTGTTCTTTTAAATTAAGTAAAATAATTTTAACTCTGTGACCAAGCTACTTCAGTACCTCTAAAACAGCTTTTCCAACTGCTGATGCGATAGGGTTTCCACCATATGTGTTGAAATGAACTGCTTGGGCAAAGCTCTGGGCAATTTCTGGAACATAAAATAAAACAATTTTGAGCCGACGCAGACTGGTTACTGTTTGTTATTATTGCCTTAAATATTATAATGATTTGAAACGATAGAAATCGAACATTCGTATTTTTTTTCCTTAAAAGCAAGGATAAATAAGACCAGCGAAATCTTGTTTCACAATACTCCGACAATTCGCATTGCATCGGGAAAGTCTCTCAAAGTCTTTCAGTGTTTTTTTTTTTTTCGGATTACTTTCCACTTTAAGTCGGTTATTTCTACATCAACAACAAGATGGCGTTAGTTGTAGAACGTTGGTGACCCATAGCCCCGATCATTGAACTTAAGGCCATCTAGGAAGCGTCAAATGAGGTCGCTAAAACAAAATGACTATCAAATTGCACAAAAAGCCGATAGGGAAAACAAAACACAGCTGCTCAAAACCGTAAAACAACATTCTGATATGCAGCATATATCTATAGCAATTGCACTGTGCATGGTAACTACGGATGTTTGTGGTTCGGCAGCCAGTAATCAACTCCTTCACCTCCCCCCCACCTTCTACCCCTACTAACCCCATCCCCCTCCATCCCTGCTGCTGCTCTGTTTCTTACCTGGAGTTGTCACTACTGCAGCTAATGGGAATCCATTTCCAATACCTTTTGCCATGGTAACTAAAGAAAGAAAAAACACCACACTGTAATTACTTCACGATTTCATCCACCTACATGTAACAGTTAGAACCTACTTTATGGTGTATATCACTCTTACTGTAAACGGTAAAAGTTTCACTGCCAAAATAGATACAATTGATATTCCAAATGATAGAGATAATCTAAATTTTATTTCGTAAAATACTGCACAGTAATTAGCAGACGAAAGCGCTGGAAAGAGGATTCATGTTAATGGTCATGGACAAATAGCATTTCATAGTCAACATATTTTAAATTAAGTTAAATTAATTTTATTTAAGCTCGATAGCGTGAGGAGTGGTTGCCCAATCTCCCGAGGCAGGGGCTCATGTATTAAACGCTCGAGCATTCCGGATCGAATTGGAATTTAGAAATGTTGGTTTTTGCGGAGAGGGGAAAACCGGAGTACCCGGAGAAAAACCTCTCGGAGCAGAGAAGAGAACCAACAACAAACTCAACCCACACATGACGTCGAGTCCGGGAATCGAACCCGGGCCACATTGGTGGAAGGCGAGTGCTCTCACCACTGCGCCATCCCTGCTCCCCAGGGATTAGAGCCTGTTCCTTCTTAATTTTAAACCAATGCTAGTAGCAAGAGTGCTTTGTAAAAGAAGCGCTACAAAGTATCATAAAGTTACCAATATCTGGAACAACATCTTGAGTTTCAAAACCCCAGTAATGGCTTCCGAGGCGACCAAATCCTGTTTGAACCTAGAAGGTTAGAGAAAGGTGAGTATTTGACTGTCCTAAAAAGCTACTTACGGTGTATAAGAAAAGTTCTACGTTAATTTCAGCCACACCTCATCTGAGATACAGACGCCTCCACGCTCCCTGATCAGCTCATATGCACCCTTAAGAAATCCCTTAGGAAGATGAACTGCACCACCAACACCCTGAAACAATGGACAACAATTTTATGAACATGAAGGGAATAACCATAGGACTTAATTATTCATCTCCTTTCGCTTTAAATAAACTAATCAGTACACGATGGTATCATTTTATTACACCGACGTACCAAACGTACCAAATCTTGCGTTACTGTTACCTGGACAACTGATATAATCGGTTCTGACAGTTTATCTATGAACTGAGCTAGCCAGTAAACTATTAGCAAACGACTCGGCCTGCAGATTGTTAGTTATTTGTTTTGTTTTTTGTTTCTTATTTAAATTTACATAGCTCAGTGAGATTTAAACAACCTTAACTTTCACAAAAAGAAGGAGGACCACACTTATCAGGCAACTTCAACGATTGACCACTAAAATTCAAAGCTGGCAGTAAAATTTGGTAGGTTGTTATAGGGATGGGTTAAGAGATTGTATCTAGGTAACAAATGGATTGTGTCTTAGTTACCGTACGTTACTCTACTGAGTTCTGAAGTACATATTTGTTTCTGTAGGGGCAGTTCGTTTCGCCTGTTTAGGTTACAAAGCTCTTTTTTACAATGATGATGAACTTTTCATAAAGACAAAGATTACATTTTTTGCTAATGTTGCTATAGGGTTTACATTTCTTTAAAACTTTCCATTTTATCTGGAAAGGTTTCTTAGGGTCTTGTAAAGTTTAAATATATTTTGAGAATTCCGTTTCACTTCTTCTGTTCGAGTGTCGATAGGAGGACTAATGATTTCTGTAACGTTCCTTAAAGTTTGTTGCCAGTCTGACGTAAGTTTCAGTTGATGTCGCTGTGGTTACAGTGGCTTGCTAGATTACATTTGATTAGGGGCATTTTCCTTCGAGTGGACAATCTAATTTTTTTCTGCATCAAGCAAAGGAATTCATTGCCTTTAACAAAAACTAGCCAGCTGAGAAAGAAACAGGAATTTTGCTCTAGCCTAACCTGAATGACTTCAGCAATAAATCCTGCAACTTTCTTGCTCGTAGAGTGAACCAACACATCTTTAAGTTGATCAACATAAAGTTTGGATGCAATACACTGACCTACATGTACAAAGTAACAAACTATTATCATTACTAACCTTGAGCTAAACCTCACCCCACCCCTCCTTTGAATTACTCTTATACTTTTTATAACAAGTGGTTCCAAAGTAGACGTTGGTTGAGAGCATTGTTTGTAGGTTTTTATGTAATAACTTTTAATTAGCTATGACAACACGTCTTTGATACATTAAAACCCTACAATCAGTCATTTCTCATTTGAGAACATTGTTACCACAACCACGTCCTTATAAAGCCATATTTTTATAGCCCTAGGATATGGTTAATGTAGCCTCACTATACTAATTTCCCAACTTGCCTGCAGCACAGTCACAGGTCCTGTCTGCCTACAGTAAAAAAAATACAAATCAAATTTTATTAGTAAATCTGATTTCATCCCATTTGGTTTGACTATTATTTTAAAGAAGGATACCCAATATGAGTACAATCATCTGAATTGAGAAATCTCAAATCACAGCCAGCACAATCTTTTTTAAAGACCTTGGTTGTTGGTCCAGCCAGGGTTGAGCCCACAACCTCCCGCTTGGCAGATGGGTGCTCTCCCAACTGAGCTAACTGGGCAGTGGTTGCATTGGATGGTTGAAAGCTGAAAGTGGGAACAGCCAGGCCAGGCTTATGCAATTCCAAAACTGTTTAATGATAGTGACCTTTAAAAACAAATCACCTTACCTGTGCAAGTGAGTCTCGGCATTTAGCCCCACCCCATGGGCCTTGATACACATCTGCATTCATGGTCTATAAAGCAAAGTGTTTGTGTTATCATTAGTAACAATCCAATGAAATTCCATAAGCTCAAATAATTTACAGGAACAGAAAGGTCCTCTGTGTCCTAGCCTACATTGTATGCTTAATGAAGTTTTTTTGGGGGGGGGGGGGAATTGCTTGGGACAGGTCTCATTTGCATAGAATCCATGCACGCTACATTGTACAACCAGTAGCAAAAATTAACACGTGTACTTGAAACACTGTACCACATTTAGGCTTTGATAGCCTGTCCCCCGGCGACCCTCCCCTAATGTCAAAGTTACTACAATTTTATACAATGAAACAACCCAAGATGGAGGAACAACTTTAAATGAAGTGGAGTGATGGGGAAAGGTTAAGTGTCATATCTCACAGATGTGTGACTTATCTATAGCAGAAATTTTAAGTAAAAAAGGCTGGTTGTGCGTCAGAATGTCTCAACATATTTGCAGCTGGTTGTAGAATTAATCTCAAAGAACATGATGGTTCTAATAAAATATTATATTCAACAACTCAAAAAAGTAAACCTTACTCATGTAAACTGGCTTATACAGGGCAACAAAATCTTAGATTTAATTAAGTACTGTGCATCTCATCTTTGAACCTGTGATAAGTTATTACCCATCAAATTTGAACTTACTTAGCTTCAAGGTGCTTACTAGTACATGAAGCAAAACAAATTTTGTACAATTTTAACTATACCTGGAAGAAACCAAAGGACAGTGGCACATTAAGTTTCCATGTATTGTGAGCAAGAATTCCTAGAGTTCCAGGACTGGCACCATGATATGCATTCCTACAACAAAATTAATGTAATGTTCACTTAATTGTAATCAAACTGGAAGGTGAGCGTAAAGCCTGTTACGTAAAGCCATATAAAGTAGCCATTGATAATCATAAATGAAACAAAACTCATAACTTATAAGTACTGTGAGGAGATATGAAATTTATAACTGTTGTATGTAACAACTTATCGATAAACATCCCCCTGTTTGGGTTGCCCTACAAATACATTGAAGAAACTTTTAAAAAAATGCAAGTTATGTGTAAAACCGCAATGTTATTGACTCTGTTTACTATTTAGGTATTACTATTGTTCTCTCCATGGCTTTGTTTACTCTAAAGTACTAAACCTGAATTTTTTCAAGCAACAATGTCAACCACCATTAATTAATACACCTACAAACACCATAATTATCATGATATGGAACTACAATCAATAACATCCAAACAGCTGGTTTATATCTCACTGTAAAAAATAGCCTGTAGTGATCAGGACATGTTAAAAAACTGAGAGAAGGAGGGCCTTGGAGGTGTGGAAGGATAAAAACCTTTCTTGAGGGGTGAAGTTATGTATTTTTTTCAATAGCACAGTGAAATTTTACACTAGTCTTTATAGTTATATGATGAGACTATATTCAACTATCAGAGACCACTTCATGCATGTATTCATGAAGGTCTTTTTTTAAAACTACTGTAAAAAGGTTAAAATTAAAGGCGCACATAAGCCAAAGGTTCAAATAACTGGAGCTTATCCCAGATTCATTAGCATGAAGCATGATACAACAACTGCTACTAGTGTATTCTGTATAATTTATTTACACCACCTCATGCAATCAATAGACGAAACCATTCACAAGAAAAGGGAAGCTCTTACCTGAGAGAAAGGAAATCAAAGTTTCCTGTGTGAGCTCTTGCCATCATAATTGCCATGTCATTGGCTTCGGAACCACTGTTAACAAAATAACACACCTAGTAACAAAAATACATGCAAATTTTGTCACAGGCTGGTTAAGAATATGCAAATGATTTGGACAGCAAATGATTAAAGATCCTAAAGAGCACATCTAAAACTGTGACATTTACACCCTAGTTAACTTGTACACTAACCCACGAACTCTGAACCGTGACCCATCACACGCGACCATAAAGTCAAACCGTGATTATTATTATAAACTGGACTAGTCAGCTGTACATGTTGACTACCACAAAAGAAAAAGTTGTGTTTACTTATTATAACTCTCACACACCTCAAAATACTTGTACATAGTACATTCACTGTAGTTAAATAATAAATAACATTATTTTGTTGTATTTAAAAGTACTTTTCTGCCAAATAAATTAAAACCTATAAAAACATTTATTATACTTTCTTGGACTTTTCTTCCTACCTATACTTAAGAGCTTGTTATCTAGCTATCTTCCTGGTTATATGCTTTGATTCTAACTTCACAGTCTAAAATGTGAAAAAGAGCCTACAACAAATAAAAAAGTGAACTTAAAAAACCGTTAATAAAGATGTAAAAAAATTCTAAAATATTTTGCGTACATGTAATGTGAATAATTCTATAGATCTTAATAGCACTAATATTAAAATCTTACATTGTAATAAATATGCCTTTCCAATAACAGGAATTCTAAAACATTAACCAACAGGATCTCTAAAAATTTTAGAACTCTAAGAACAGTTCTACAAATCTCTCACACATCGATAAGCCAAAATTTAACTTTTCCAGTCACGAAATTTGCTTGTAACAGTCCAACAAAACAGTATTCAAAGGCCAATTTGTTTTAAAAATCTACATTTAATTCTTAAATTTCTAACCTTAAGGTTCCCAGGTAGCTTTGAAGCTAACAGTTCAGCATATTCATGAACAGTTGGGTGGTAGTAGATGTTTGTTGTGTGCCACAAACTGTCCATTTGCTTCTTAGCAGCATTTGTCACATGGCTATAGGGAAGAATATTTATTGTATTATTGTACTGTAGTTATGATCAGTGCTTGAGTAGTACAGCTAGTCAGAAAGTACAAGTACAGTATACATGTAACGTATGCAAGGCTATTAGCATTCTACAGTTAATTTAACTAAATGCAAGGTTATTAAATCAAAGGATTAATTTTTTACAGTGGAAATGTGAGAAAAGGATCAAATACATTTCCTTCCTCTGAGTCCATATTTTTTCTCTAGACCTTGAATACACAGTGTGCTTATAAAATTAACAATTTGAAAGGCATACCATCCAAACATCCCGCTAAAAAATTTAAATATGGAAAACTTAGTCACATGGTACTGGTCTTTAAATGGAATATTATCGACATACAAATTAATTATTACATGTACATGTAGAAACAACCTGACTTTTTTAGGGGATCGGGTTGGTCGTACAAAGGCTAAATATACAGTGAGTTGTCTTGACATCCCAGGAATACAGACAGCAGCTAAATTACCAGGAAAAAGAATTTATGAACATTAATTGACCAAAATAAACTCCAACTACTACAAGCTCAACATGCAACTGTAAGGACACAAAAATAATACTCATGTAGTTAACCCCACCTTACGGGCAACAACTTAATATGGACACCTCATTATTATGGACAGTTTGCTTCGTTTCTTTGGGAAAGTAAGCCCTTACATTTTCTCTAAATTTAACCCACGCAATACAGACACCCTGTTAATACTTCTTTAAGGCTGTAACTGGGCGTGTTGAAATTAATCCAACCGTTACTCCTTGGATACGCACACCAACAAGAACCACTAGATTACACCAGCAATCCAGATATCACAGACTTTATTTTTAATCATGCACTGTTTAACAACCTTTCAAAGATCATTTTTTAACAGAACTAGTAGAATATGGAATGCTCTTGCTGCAGACCTTGGACTATCTGTTGCCTGTTCTTCAAGTTCTTTAAAGCTGTCCTTTACGGTTATTACAAAAAAGCTCTTGTCACTTCCTACATCCCCAATGACCCGCGCTCTTTCAAATCTATATCCTTGACCTGTAATGCTGCCCATAATTTTGGACAGCACAGTTTTTAGATAATATAAATAGTTTTCCATTTCTTAGCAATCTGTGTCTTGGGCCCGCAGTAATTGGCGCTCACCGTTGCGGAGTCCCCGCCTGTACTCAGGTGAATATATATGTACAAGTTTTTTTTTGAAGTGTCACTTATCTTATCGTTTGCAAAGTTAATAAAATTAAAATTAAAAAAATTAATATAATATGGACACCTTTTATGGCCCCCACAGTGTTTCTATTACTGAGGTTTGACTCATGTAACTGTAATATCTGTCAATATAACTTACGGATGACAATGTCCTACACTGACAGTCACAATACCAGCAAACAAGTCCAAGTATCTCTTGCCATTGTTATCCCACAGCCACTGCATGTGACCCTTGAAGGCAAAAATGTTAAAAACACACCTCAATGTACTACCTAAGCTAAGTAAAATTAATACTATAAGACTTAACAACATTATAACCACATTTGCTTGGTACCCACAAGTAGCAATGATAGTGATTGTAGCCTATAGGCTACAGCTGTGGGTCAGCTGCATTAAACGAAAAATGTATTAATCAGAGCTCACGGCCTAGTCACAATTAACTCCCCAGAACTTCTGCGTTTGCTATCTCCATTATTGAAGTAACAACATCTTTTACTGTTGTTGTTGCAGTAACGTAACTTTGTTTTTGTTTGTTTGTTGTCATGTAGTACATTGATGTACATCAAATCTGTCTATAGTGTGCATGTTATGTTAGCATCTTCTTTTCCTACTGTACTAATGCCTAAATTTATTGCACACTGACGTTTTTTGAAGATTATGGCTGTATAATATAATTATATTTTATTATGTTATGTGTATATGTATGAGCTAAGAGACAAAGGAAATTGAGAATCAACCTGAATTTAATTTTGGCCTGTAACATATACATATGTATAGATTGCATGTATGCACGTATTTTGTACCTGCCAACTTGAGCCATACCTTTGTGATGAATACTGGGTTTTTATAATATGTGAATAGAGCTGGGTTAAGATTGGCTTTCCTTACTTCTTTTGCATGTTCAAATGTGATCCCCTGGTGATGAAATCATTACAAAGTAAAATAATTTGAAAATATGACATTATTTTAATTAAATTGATTACTACACAACATAGGGAGCTAAATGGAAATGACACTAAAGTAAACAGAAAACCATTGCAAAGAGGAAAAGGTATCTCTTATAAAGCTGCTCATTTTATTGGCACAACTCTTGTAAACAGCCATCAGCATCCTCAGTGGAAGTTTAATATTGCACTGCTCACAATTAAAACAGGTTATAGAAACATGAAAATAAATGCAAGAAATACTGTTCTGTGTAATACAATTAAGTTAACTACTAAGGATTTTTCTTTTTCCTTAATATAAGAGAATTTTGTATAATCTTATCATTACAATACAGAAACAACAAAAGAAAAGACAAAATCATATCTTGAAAATTTCTAAAACCAGTTTAGAGCTGAGTAAGTTCAAGTTGTGCAAAGTTATATAAAATTTTGTGACCGACACAAGTTTAAATCAGCTGATTTAAAATAAATATGGCAACTGAACTGTTTTTCTATCTTCTTTCTCTCTATCAATCATATCTTCATTTAAAATTTGTACTTCCAATCTGCAGTTTACATAATCTTGAGCTTCATGTATTTCTCTTAGTTTGCTATCCTTAAAACGAAAAAAAAGGTTATCTTCACCTCATAAGGTTCAGGCTTAAATTCACATGATGGCATATCCATGCCAGGATCCACTGGTGCTGTCTTTTGAAATAATGATCCTGAAAACAATTTAAACATCCCTGGTAGTGAGGTAGTTTTTACATTTCGGATTTTTACGAAAGTTACTTTTAATTAGTAGCTAATTTTCACCAATAAACGGTAACCTGAACAAAAAGAAATGAAAAAATAACACAATTAATTTTTAAGCTAAACTAAATGGTCCTACATTTAAATAAATAAATATTAAATAAATAAATAAATAAACACATTGCAAAAAAATTAATAATCCTGCAGTCAGTGGACAAATATCAAATAACAGGACCACGATTTTGTTAATCACTAATCTTGTATGATTACAGCAGGGATGTCCCTAAGAGCAGGCTGCCAGACCATCTCAAATTACTCCATAGAAAACAAAGATATGGGATATTTATAAGGTGCAGTTGAGTGAAAAAACCAGATTGACTGATAAAAAAGCCTGCTTAAGTTATCCTTAGCTACATCCCGGTACAGATCAAAATGGATTCTAATCAGTCCTATTAGCATTATTAATTATAAAATAAATGTCAAATATATATCTAGCTGATTTTTTTAATAAAAGTTGCAGTCATTAATTTGAGTTAAAAGGGGTCAAAAGGCAGGTTTTTTGGACTCGATAAGCTGCAAGATCTCACTAACGAAGGAAACGGAAAGGAGAAAAAGAAAGAGCGAAAAGGAAGATAAGGAGGAGAAGAGAAAAAAGCAATGGTTGCACTCTTAGTTTTTATAATGGCTACTTTGGAGATGCTCTTTAGCCGAAAAATACTGTTGGATGCAAAAGGTCCATTTGGCAGTAACCTTTTCAAAAATCCAGCTAGATATATTTTTATATATATGAAATAGTATCAATATTTATTTATGGCTGGGGGAATCATTATCCTGTTTGATTGCCCAATGAAAAAAGGTCTTAGGATGTTGATCACAATAGACCCATGGTTTTGAAACTTTTGACGTGGACAAGTTATGGAGAAAAAACATTGGCACCACTGGAAAGAGCGCCTTCAAATATTAGTAAAACTGCCAAGTTTGAACGTGATTTTTCAAAAGCTAACAATGATATAGCTGCTCAAGGTCACCAAATTTTACAGACGTTTGTATGATGGGGGCACAAACTTGCCCCACCCCACCATACAGACGTCTGTAAATTTCCACAACTTTGCAGAGCTATATCTTGCTAATTTTAAGGTGCTCTTTTCAGTGGTGTTGATGAATTTTCCCTCACTTGTCCATGTTAAAAGTTGACAAAACTGTGGAGGGGTCTTGATTATTAATTTTGAATGAGGCCTTAGAAATTATAATTTGGAGGTGCCAGTCCCCTTGGTGCCCAGGGGGGGCGACTCCCATATGAAACAGACGGGGATGCTCGTCGTCTCGCTTAGGGGTGTAAATTTTGGATTTTGGTCTCGCTTAGGGTGTTTCGGGCAAAGCGCCAATATTTTAAGCCTCCAAGGTCTCGTTTAGGGTTCTGCAAAGAACTTAAGATTTATGACAATGCTTTTAAAAACTACTATTAGATAAAAGGATTCGATGATTATGTTAGGCTCCTGCTTTATATCATTAAAACTCATTGCATGTCGTATTTGTGTGTTTTTAAGCGGTCTCTTTTAGGGGTCAAAATTTGCTTAAGCCACGCCTAGATTGGTCTCCTTTAGGGGTCACAAAAAGCTTGAGCCACGCCCAGATGGTCTCCTTTAGGGGTTAAATTCAAAATTTTCGACGAGCATCCCCGTCTGTTTCATATGGGAGTCCACCCCCCGGGCCTTGGTGCCAGCCTTTGAGATACAAAACAAACGCGTAAGATCCATTTTTACGTCTGTCTCTCTTAATTATATTAAATGTTCACATTCTTATAAACAACCTGGGGACTTTCCCACCTTCAAAGGATGCCCACTCCAGTTTATTAAGCATAAATTAGTTACTATGACGTGCCCAGTGGTTTATGGAGATGTAGCCAACTCCAAAAGTACATAACCACTGCAGGCAGTGCATGTACTCTTAGATAAACAAATATACATAAAACACAAGAAATCTATAAAATAGAGTGAGTTCTATGCTCCCATCTACTAAGCACAGCTGTTTTCTTTTTTAGCATTTCACGACTGGCTCCGACGTGAGCTCTGGAGCGCGAGTTGAGCAACGTGCAATAACGTGATCGCAAGATTCTCGGATCCCGATCAAAACTTACAAAAACGCACCTGAACACGTTTGAAGACTTCTGCGTGCATATTCAAGACCTAACACCAAAGAACGGTGGCGACTTTGACTCAAAACTGCGAGCTTGGGATACATCGTTGCACTCACTACACACAACACAACAGGAAAATTTCAACAAAAAAGACTGGGTCGAGTCCCGGGCGAAAAAGCCTGGCAACGATATTTTGTGACAGAGTCGTCACGCAGGAGCGTCATACGAAATGTAGGCCGTTCCCCCGGCTGTTCCCTGCTAGCAGGGGTATTCAAGCCGCCTAATAACAGGGAAAAGAGGCCTCTGCTGGTAGGGAAAACCCACTGAAAATGTGTATTTGATTGAAAACGAAAGGGGTAGGGGGTAGGGGATAGGGAGGAAGGGCTAGAAAATGTGCAACATGATTTCGACAAGAAACCATATGCCTCCTGTCTCCAGTGAATTCAAACTTGTTATATAATCTATAGCTAGCTATAGCCTGCGTAGCTGGCGATACTTTGTAGTAGTCGAGTGAGATTTTTATTTTATGAGCTAATAATCACGATTCGTATAATGCCATTTTTTAATCCCCGTAATCACTTACCTTGTTTTAATTAACTAAAGTTCTCCTTTTATTGACTAGTCAATGAGACCGCATTGATCTTTCGTTTGATTTATCAGTTACTAATAAGCAATATAAATGAATCAAACTGGAAGACGAACATAATATAAAGAATGATTTAACTGTACACTACCACTGCACTACTAATTTATACAGATTTCCCACTTGTTTTGCCCGATTGCGGATCATTTCAATAGCTAGGCCACAACATTAAGTAGAATCAATTACAGACACCGGTCAATCTGATTTACATTGCAAAAGAAATGAAACTTTCAAGAGGGTATGAATGTGGTTTTATAACCGACTAGCGATAAAAGGGGAAAAATATTACTGACTACCGACAAAAATAATGAAAAAAACAATTACCGACTACTGACAGGAAACATATTAACCGACTACCTGACAGGAACCGACATTATCGATATTTGTTTTTATAAAAAAAGAGCTCTTTGTATTTTTTCTAGCTTTGGAAGTAGCCACATTAAATTTATGACTTATTCGATGGTCCTTCTTTGTTGTTACGTTTACATCAGTTGCTACAACCAATATCAAAATCACGAAAGTCATACCTTAAAGAATACCGAATTTATAAATTATATTTAAAAAAAAAAAAAAACCTTTCGGTGGAGTACGTCACAAGTCTTGGCAATACACCACAAAACGAGGGTATTGAAATAGTTTGCAGTGTGTGTGAAAATTTCTGCAAAGACAACACATTACCGGCGAGAAATGCTTAGATTAATCCTCAAAGAAAATTCTCTCCAGCTCGGTGGAAAGCCCTACCTACAAACCCACGGTACCGCGACGGGCACAAAGACAACAGGTTCCTTTGCCAACATTTTCATGGCATATATTGAGACACAAATTAATTCTAAGCAAAACCGCCTTTAAACCAACAATCTGGAAACACTACATAGGCGACATTTTTCTCCCTCTGGGAAAAAGTAAATCACACATCGTAGCCGAGTTTCTTCGAACAAGCAAACTAAATCACCCTACTCTACTCAGTCTACTATTGAACTCACGGCCGAAATATCTATATGTGACACTGAGACTGTGTTTCAGACACTGTTGTATATGCAAAGGCACAAGATTCAATGAAAAAACTATCCTTGATGTCAAGACACATTTTAAACAAAATGAAAACCTTCCAGTAAACACATTTCACCTCTTTTCGGCCACAAAATTTTAATGGATTTGCCTTACAGACTCCTTTGAAGCAACTTTTGAGGAAATCATTTCAATTTCAAAAACTTTTGATGGACAGAGGCTACCCATACAATTTGAAAGAAAAGGTGCTATCAGAAATAAACTCAAAGAAAGTCTGCGTTCCTGAAACAAAATTAAACAGCAAGGAAGAAAAAGATTTGCCCTTTAGTGGCAATACCAACCCTAAGAGTCTACTAATATAAAAGAAGCTTTAATGAAAAAGTGGAACCTCATACAAAACCAACCAAACACCGACTTCGCCAAATTTTGAAGAATCACCTATTATTTCCTGCAAGAAAGAGCCAAGAAGGTCTGAACACACGGTTTCACGCCGGTGTAGATGTGCTGCCTGTCACCCCTTGCAATTTTTCGCCAGAAATAATTTACTTATCTAAAAGGCTAGAGTGGACGTTTTCCTCTGGGTCCAGTTAACCTCTCTTGGTTAATTTTCACTGTGCCCTGAAATCAACAGGGAAACCAAGTTCGCATTTACAATAAAAGCTTTGATGAGTTTATCGGTGCTATATTGGCAAAGGTGAAATAAATGATCATGTTGCATAAACAATTAAGAGTTGATGAAGTTTTTAAAGTGCCATGAAATGATGCATTCATGATGCTGTACACACGTTCATAAGGTTCAAAGCCCGTCTTGAAACTGCGTGAAATACATATTAACAACTATTAATAATTAACATGTATTTTTACTTATTAACTAAGATTTACCGAAAACCGACAAAGATCGAAACTTTTAAGCGACTATCGACAAAGTAACTGAATTTTAACTGACAACCGACAAGTGGATTCTCCCATTCAGACCCCTTTTAAGGTTGGAGATTTATTCTGCAGCTGTGCTGTTTCCAGTCTCTTGTATTGTTCCTTTTCACCATGTTGCCACGACTAAAAGCAATGAATTTTAATTTAGTCAATGAGAGATCATTTTCTGAGATACCTTTGAATGGAAATTATATAACAATCATTGTTTGGTAGTAATACGTAAGAACCGAATTATCGCGCGATTGCTAAAAAAGGTGTAAGAATAATTATTGGCGTTTATGTCAGTTGTGGTTCAGTTTTGTCCTTGGTTTAAATGCATTTTTCTTTGTTTGGGGCATGGGTGGTGTAGTGAAAGATAACGAGTTTAGAACAAAAAATAAACTAAAATAAAACAAACCGATTTTTAACCAAGGATAAAATTGAGCCACAACATACAACTGACGCATAAATCCAGACTGAATGCAAGGGCTCCAAACTGTAGAGCACACTCGCTACAAATCTAAAGGTAATTATTGCATTCTTGGTTACTTTTATAATATGCACGATTCTTTAGACATTAATTAAGTAATATATAGATTTGACCAGGGCTAAAAGCGAAGCTCCCATTCATAAATTTATAATTTTAATCAAACACAAAAAGCCAACGCTTATCTTCTTGATTCTCGAAAAATCTTTGGTCACCTATCACACTCTACCGAGCTTGTACGTATGTGTTTGGCTTGTCATCACTTTGACTTCAACAGTGCCGATTGGATCTCCGATAATCTGCATGTGATCTCCAGCTGATATAAAAAATATTTTTAGTCGTATATTGTTGGAAGGGTTTGGAACTGTAACTTAGAACTAGATTCATCAGTTCATATTCCGGCTTGCGCCATTGAAAAACACCCCTGCCTTTTGAATGGACTTTTGTGATATGAAAATAATCGTACATTGGATTAATTTTATGTTGATTATTTGATCCGGCGGTATTTCTCGGGTATTTCGGCACAATTGAGTTTTATTTGGTCCATTTAGCTAGACTTGTGAGGTGATGTTCCTATATTTATACATCCATCCACATTCCAACTGAAGCTTGTTTCCTTCGCGAAAATAAAAAGAAATTATTGCTTTTAAAGCATTCTATAAAGTTTACGTGCAAATTTACAATCGTTGAAATTTTTTTTCTTTTCACTTTATAGCCTACACGCCTTAAGTCACTTTCATTTACGGCATAGAATCTTTCGTCAAAATCTTAAGGTCCTTTGCTTCCGTTTTAAGGAATAGGGTTTTGAAACTTCGATGTTGTAGGTTTTACATCTCTACGGTTGTAAATGATCCTTTTAATTTAAACTTAGTCAGGGGCGTAAAGTTGCCAGCTTTTCGACTAGTTGTAGCTAGGCCTGCCTGACTTGCTTTTCCACATATCCTGAAAACTGCACGCATGACCAGTACGCATGCACTGACCTCACCAACACTTCGTGCTCTTAAGCTCTTTAGCTCACCACGATGATATGAGCACAATTTATTACAAACAGTAGAGTGATCAACTTAAAAATTGGTAGGCCAAGGCCTACAAGTCTATGTTTTGGCTACGTTCCCAGTAGTATTGATAGAGGTTATCGATGTGAGGATTTTTTTTATCACTTTTGTCGTTTTTAGTTATAATACATTTTTCTATTTTGAGTTTGCAGCTATACCCATCAGTTGTAAATAGGTCGCCGACAATGGCTTTTTATCTCTTCGTCCCTGTCCTAACAGCTATACTGGGCTAGTACGTAAGACAGACTATACCTAGTAGCTAATACTGATATGAATAACACAACGCACTCGAATACAATTTAAACATCAACAAGTTATAAAAATACAAAGGCAAATTTTCCTCTCTCCTGACTACATGCGAATGAGCTTTGATGTGAAAAAAATAAAGTTGAGCTGTGATAAAACAAAAAGCTGGCAAGCGGCAGTACCGCAGTGAGACATACAGTATCATATAAAGAGAAAAAACGCTCCGTAGTCTTTGCAGGAGTAGGAGAACGACTTTGGCTGCTCTAACATTGACTAATATCACAGCCATTAAAATCGCTGCGAAAAATTAATGCAGTATTTACCCCAAGCGAGGTTAGGTCAGTGGAGGTTTTCTTTGCCACTTTCCTCCGGGAAACAAATAGAATTCAGTAAAATTACGAAATAAAATTTTACTTGTGGTCTTTAATCAATTAGTAAGCCACCCATGAAAACAAGTATAATAAAAAAAACTATTTGTCATTTCCAACTCGATTTATAGTTTAAATGACCATATCATGAATTCTTTCCCGTCAAACGACAATCAAAATCAATGGCGTTGCCCTTGAGTCCACAGAGAAAATTGGTCACAATTGTATTCTTGTCATTTCATTTGCTAGCCTGTCATGTGCATCCAAACTGTTGTTTTTATTATAAAAGCTAGTCGTCAAATAATCAAAAAGGTCCAGTTTTTTGTGTGTTGCTTTAATTGGTGTTACTCTGAACGGATGTACTTCACCTGTGTGTTGTTGTTGCTGTGGCTTATTCAGTGTTTTTGTTGTTGTAGGAACTAATGCGGCGTGACATTATTCG